CTTAATGTCATCTCGATGTAAGAAAGTCTTTCCAAGTTCATTGCAGCTCTTGCTTGTGAATCGAAGTTCGACGGCAATCCGATTACCTCATGCTCAGGTAGGCTGTCCACAGAAGTGGTCGGGATGTTGCCTGATATCATCGGCATTTCACGTTGTTGTTGAATGCGCCACGTGTGAAGTAGGGGCAGTAGCCTGGGCCGGAGTCGATCGGCTTCTGTATCGTCTCCGTCCACCCCATCCGTACGCTTCAGTTCATCCAGTGCCTGTTGAACTGCCTGCCTAAGACGAATTGAGTCCTCCACCGAATTCCAAAAAAAGTTTCGCTTACAGACACTCCTCCAATGCAATGCCAAGCTGGATGAAGGAGACAGAGTCTCCCCTCTCTGCCCTTCCTATCGCGGCGGCAATAGACTCCAATGCGGTTTCTTCTTCATCACGCAACCGGTCAGCCGCGTGTCTTTGGGAGGGTACTGACGTTTTCTCAGCGTTTGATATAAACGTAGGTGGGTTGAACACACCTGCTTCATCTGGAAATCGGTAAACACTGCAGAATGACCCATCTGTTCTCTCCAAGTATTCTGGTTGCACCTTCCATCGATCAACCCGAGGACCAAACGCAACGCTAAGATTGTCGAAGTACTCCTGGCAGTGTTGCAAATGTTTCCTCGCGGAGATCATTCTTCGACATAGAAACGGTACTGCGAGCAATCATTAGACACTCACCGGACATGTGGGTTCCCGATAACTCACTCATATCTCGTTGTTTCTTCCAATTCCAGTCGGTAAAGTGAGCTTCCAGGCAGTCCAGACGATGGCCCGGATTCATCTCCTTGGTACTGCCCCCAAGTTGGTTATGCTCCGCCCAAGTCCTCTCAACTCCCTCCCCATCCACCCCAGCGGCTCCCAGTTTGAACGAGAGAGAGAAGCGATGATGACACTGCTCGCGATGAGCGTATTCATGCATTTTGGGTACGACGAACGTAATGTGGTCCCAAAGCGGCACCAGATGAGGAAATCGCGATTTCATCCTTTCTTTCCACTTCGGCGACCACATACATCCCAACTCATACGACAGATATATGACTGGCAGGGTCTCAGCCCCTGCAATAGCTCCTGCGAAAGCGTAATCGACGTTCGAGAACCTTGCCAATGTCAGCATGGTATATTTGATGCTTGGTTTAAGGGACACACCTTTCCCCGACCTGCAAATCCACCGTTCCACCCGGTCTGTATAAGCTGTGGCGTAGGCAACTCCAGGAATACACGCCGGACGAGCGGTATCCGACGTTGCCCTGGAATAGCATCGACGTTTTAAACCTACTACAAGTTTAAGCCTGGCTACGGTCTCAGCAATGATTCCCACCTTTCCTACTAAGTGGATCTACGTACCAATTTCATGTCTTCGTGGGTTCGGATATAGTTGGTGAAATGGGTCTGGTCTGGGAAAAATCCTCGACCGCGTAGCAGGCCCACATCATTTGCGTCAACATTTTTCTTCTTCGCTGAAAGGGTGAAGTTCCCATCTCCACCAAGATACAGAGCGACCAGATGGCTATTATTGAGTCAGACGCTCACATCCAAACAAAAATCAGATGGTACGCACGGTTTGGCTGGGTCAGCCTTTGCCAATTCTTCCTCGGTGATATTAATACCGAGCTGGGGGCATGCTGGACAAAGCGGACTGCGAACCCGGGTAGCTGCGAACGGAGGAAGATTGTTCGTGATACCATGGGCCTCCCCACAGCGCCGGGACGCTTCCAGGTCCATCCAAATTCGGCTTGCGCGGAGAAGCTCTCGATAGCGATCGTTGGTGGAGGCCGGGACGATGTCGCTGGTTTGTCTTACGAGCTTTGCATAATAGTCATACGCTGACTTCTTCGAGCAAAGCGTATGCATATGGAAATCTTTCATTACCGCAAAGCTGAAGGCCGTCTTCGGGTTGTCGAACGTCGCAGGGAATAGTTTGGCGCGAAGCAGCTGAACGTAGCGATTGGGACATCCGTAGCATTGGCAGAAGGACATCAAAACGTTGTGAATGCCATTTGCATAGATCACCACGAATGGTGTGAGGGCTGGGGGGGTTGATGCAGGACACGCCGCGCCGTTGTGTCCTAGACAAATGACGAGGCCCAAGTCGCGTAGTGACTTGCGCCTATAAAACTTTCTTTCCCATACCTCTGTCCAATGAAATGGATTGTGCACATGGGCAGTAACTTGACATGTGCCGCATAGAGGGAGCGCTTGAAAACAGTCCCTGCATCTCGTCGTCAGTTGCAAGGGACTGCCACACTGTGCGCATGTCGAGGCTGTCGTTCCTCCGTAGCACCGAACCACTTCTTCAATGATAATCGATCGTTTGACTTCAAACTTGGATATAAAATCTGAATACGCCTGCTCGCGTTGTTAGTGCTGGATTTAGTGCTAGCATGTCAAACTTCCCGTACCTCAGTTTCACCCGCCTTTACCGGCTCCTTCTGGGTCTTGGCATCGATTAAGGGAGGGGCCGGACGTTCTAGCTCCAGGTCCAGGAATGTGCCAATGGGGACGTCGGGCCGCTGCCCGGATCGTCTAACATTGCGCTTCTGAGGAGGAGAGGGACCGTCGATGACAAAAATATTGGGATTCTTGCGCTTCCTAGGACTCATGTCAGTAACTACGTTTGGTACGGCACGCAAGGTAGATGAGAACCAATTTAGAGGTATCCTCGCTCCAGAGTGTCATGCTATGCCGCTTAGGTTGCTGACCGACTGAGACTCTGACACCAACAAAGCTGCGCGGGACGGCACGAGAGCTGTGGACTTCTTTTGCTCCTTGCACAGCATTGGACCCTTGGTTCTCGCCACGTTGTCCCTTTACGACTGCCGTAATCTGACTCGTTACGTTAACACGAATGGGCCTCGACAAGTTTGAATACCGATTCTTCCTCCAGATACTCTTTGCTATGTCACGTCCATATCTCCATGCTTCTTCTTTACCTTCTGCGCACCCACAGCTCGTATAAAGTCTTTGGAATGCATGTGCGGTTTTGCACGACAATCTCTGCCTTGGGTGGGTGAGATATGGTGAACTTCAAGGAAGAGCACAGGCGATGGCTTTTAGAGCGTTTGCCTGCTTTCGGTGCTCATGCCGATAAACGTCAAGGCAAAAAATATGCGAGCAGTATTGCAACCGCGTTTCGGGCCCACTTCCCCGATTATGCCCCGAAGAGAGACGTCGATTCTGTTGACCAGGTATGAGAACATTTCTCTCTCGCTAACTGATATGTGCATTGACGTGATTGTTTGAAGCAAATCTACATTTTTTTGAAGAACAGTCGAGCGCACGCGGTTGATTTCCTACAGAAGTTATCTGTCGCACATGAGAAACACGCACCACTGATCAACCAAGCACGTGAACTGATGGTCACCGACATTCCCAACTTCGCGGATCGACTCGCTGAGCACGCCGTTAACACGAATAAACCCGTATTCCAAGCGCGACCTGAGTTCTTGAAGTCGTATTGGGAGAACGAACTTTCGGAAGAGAGACGCAGAGAATATCAAGAATCTGCAGAGCGCCGGAGAGAACAGGTCAAACAGTCGAACGCCGCTGTTCAGGGTACTCGAGGGTACGTTAGTCTTATCACTGCGTGGCATCAGTATAAATGATGAGCTCAGTGCGCCGGATACAATATTCAATACTATTGCCACGGTTCAACAAGCCCTGCAAGCGCGTTCTGGGTGGGTGTTCTTGACCTTGGCTGGAGGGCTCGACATGAGTGGGGCAAGAACCGCGACTCTGTGAGTGGCAATAGCACCCAAGCGTTCTATGGCTGAACACTCTGCAGAATTGATACAGGCCGGACGCCTAGTGGATTGCGCTTCTCCGAGTTCCATTTGCGTTACGATACAGAGATTCATCGTACTTGGGTAGACTTTGTTAAAACCGCTGGTCCTCATTTTATGTCAAATACACTGTTGTTGTACTGAATCGATTTTCTAGTTCCAACCACTACCCATGACGCCAGTGCCCGAGTCTTGCCGACTCTTCAGCGAAATGCAAACAACTGTCCCGTCCTTCCGGCGCTAGAACCCGCTTGGAATCGTTTGGATATATCTGTGGTCTTAAACACCTTTTTGCGACACCTGCATTGTACGTGTCTGTGCTTGTGTTGGGTGGATTGTTACATGTTTTATCATTGCGTCTTAGAACATGAAATTGGCCAGATGGATATACAATGGGCAACGGTCAGAGTCAAGCCTGGACGTCTCCCGTCCAGGCTTTCTCTCTTGGACCCTCAAAACATGTCATTCGTTGATCTCCTCACCATGTATGAACATGTTCATGAGCAACAGATTCGGCACGGCGATGAGTTTAGCTTCTTCGAAAGCAGCGATCATTTACAGGCGAATCCTGAGACGTTGGTAAACACTGCTTAGCCTGCGTCGGCGGCCGTTCCCCTTCCCTGCACCGCCCTCGATTCCCGGCCTGTAGAAGACTCAATTGCACTGAGAGACCGTCAACAGTCTTCGAATGATCGAGCGTTCTCGCCTTTGGATGAGGATTTTGAACATCATCACTATTCATCCGTGCCTCCCGAACCTCTAACCCCCCCCCCTCCTAGTTCGGACGATGAATTCGACGCTCTTCAACACCATGAGGTGCCAGTGGGTGAGCACAAACACATTTGTTACGTATCATCTCCCCGTCCTCACTCAATCAACAATGCAGCAACGCATATACTGCCTGTTGGGCAGAAGGTCAACGCGCACCCTCTTCAGAAAGGCCGCAAGAAGCCAAAGGCAACACGCAAGGGGGGCTCTCAACGCACAGGAAAAGCAGCAAGAGGCCGAGGCAGGTACGGTGATCACAACATTCCCTGGTGCTCACGCTGATCAAACTGCAACGCAGACCTCCCAAACAATCTAACCTGCAGCGCGGTGCATACAAACAGAAGTAAATTGCAATCCCATAAACGATTGGAATGACATTAGCTGATATGAGCAGAAGTCCGTATCGAAGGCGGTTTGCCAAATGCAGTACCAGTGGGGCAGGTGCTCGAGTAGTGTACGGACAGAAGAGGACGCGCCTGGTACTGCACGGAAGCTTCCAGACACCATGTAGTAAACAAAGAACCATATTTGGATTTCACGTACACTAATCCCATAACATCTGCGTTTCGATATGCTTCACCTTTTTTTTGGAACGCCCTTCATAACTTTGTCTATAATGCGATTCCCTAAGCGCATGGTGCGCACGGAGTTCGGCCCGCGCCACGCCTCTGACACCCTTGAGGTTAGGTTTTGACATTTGAAGATGTCCGCATTGCACTCGTGCCTGGTGCCTGGTACCCTCACTTACACCTTCATCGAATGCGTCGTCCTGCGGTGAATTCCAGTCGTCGTCCTGTGAGTTCTCGTCTTCGAAATATTGAACGTCATTATTGTAGGTAGCCGAGATTGGAACTTTATCCTCATCGGGATCCTCATAGCGTCCAACGATATCTCGCCACGGCCGCCACAACGGGGCGTCTGGAATGGCCAACTTGCAAGATATTGTGAAATCCACGGTATATAGTTTGGCGATGTCTGAGGCGAGGAACGTCACCCCATTTGTACACTGCACAATGGGCGGATCGCTCAGATCCGCCTGGTCTCAGCTGATCTTAGATGGTTACTATCCAGTGCCATGGAAATTCGTACCTGGAGATAAATCACTGAACCGAAGTGTCCCGTCCCACATTCCTACGTTGATGGCCCACTGCGACACCGTTGACCATCGATACGGATGATCATGACAACCCGGTAAGGGGATATACTGCGTGATCCCCACCAACATCCGCTTCTGCTGCTTCAGGATCTTTGGAAGATGCCGCCAGAGACAATGCCCGCCCAAATTGATATCTATTCACCTGTTAAAACGATATCCCAGTGTAGTGACAAAGAGAAGCACCCAGCCAGAAATTAAAATCGTTGCGCAACAGGGCATTGCTGGCCTTTAGGGGAATATAATGCGGAGGGCGATCGGGCCAAGACCGTCGCGTTGGTGAGTGCGGATTGATGGGAATACGTTTTGCCACAGTGAAATGATAGAGGCCGTAACCGGGGAGGGGTACGTGTGAGCCGTCTGCCTTTTGGAACGTTCTGGTTTCCGGAACGTTCGATAGGTCCCAAAGGCTCAGAGCCCCTCCATCGTGCGTGATTCGTTCAGCGTAGGGGTCGACCAACTTCGGGGCATCGTGAGCGTCTCCCGATGAAGGAGGACGCTGAGGACAAGGGTATCCAGGCTCGAGGGGATGGAGAACATCGTGTACGCCGAAAGACGTGTCTTGGGTTGATACAAACCGACTTGCTCCTATTATGTACAGACTCTCAGCAGCTTCCCTGAGGAATAACGCTGTAGAATGTGAGATATTCGTGCACAAGTTGATTAGAACACGCACACGCTTCCACGTCGTCAGCTGCGCTCAGGAAACTGTTGACTGTCGCTTCCAAACGATTTCGGAACTGACGCCGTCGTACACAACCAGTGTACCCGAATCCAGACGTTTCAGGGGCGTCGGGGCGCATGGGTCTGCCTTGAAACAGAAACGAAGCCGAATCTTTACGTCGAACATTTGGAGGTAATGTGCCTTGAACACGTTGTGGTTCCACCAGTCTGTCAGCGTGCGGTTGACTGGGGCTGAACTGAGAGCATTTGACGCTCCCGGACCGACGCGTCGGTGCCAGGGGAGGTCGATCCTGCGGATGACTTGCTTTCTGGGTATCTGGTATCGGCAGTGGATGAAGATGATAAGGGGTCGCGTTAGACGCCAAGGCAAAGGACATCATGCACAAAGGACCGTTCAGGATAGATAATAAGGCAGACGCCGATCAGGGTGCCGTCGTCCATGCACTGCCATCAAGCACACTCCCTTAACGATGACTGTTCCCACAATACCTGTCTACGTACAGTTACTATTTAGGTCCTCTGTCTGCACGATAGTGATAACATGGAGATTGTCGTGATTGTGAAATATGCAGTACATGAACACGCAGGTAATGTGTAAGGAAACGCAAAGGAAGAAGTTCCTACTTCCTCCATGTATGGCTCATCTCCGCCATGCTTGCGGCTTCAACATGCGCGTCCTCGTCAGCCAGAACATTGATCTGGACGCCCACCCCATCCGCGGTCATGACGTCCGACTGAGCTAGGAGAGTTCCATCCTCGGGGGCCAGAGCGGACGACTCCGTAGACGCGAGTTCGCTGGAGGTTTGCGAGGAACATTCGAGAGAAGGGGTGAGTGGACCGCCGATAGGCTCCTTTGACTGGTATAGATGAGTATAAGTGGTGTGCGTGTAGAGTAACAATGTGCTAACCTCGGGGACCTGAAGAAGTTTGCTGCGTTCCATGCAAGCAATAGCAGCTGAAAGCACGTCATCTGGGTCTTCTACGACGTCCAGAGGCACAGGTTTACTCCGAATTGCTCCGGCTGACCCTATGAAGCTAATTGCGCTGATAATCACCATGCTATTCTCGATGAGGTGAGTGTCATTCGTTCGCAAAGGAGGACCGGTATATGCATACCGAATTCCGGACACTTTGCGATGAACGTGTTCGCTGATCTTGATAATCGATAGTGGAGCCAATTTCCTCTTCGATATGAGATCGTTCAAATTGGTGGTCAACATGACGGGAATGCTGGCGAACCCATCGCTGATCTCCAGCCTGTTGCGAGATGAGAACCGGTTTGAGTACAAGACGAGCGAACATACATATACTGCTCGCATCCGAAACCGAGGTCATTCTCATCTCGGATAGTGAGGACTTGGACAAACCGATTGGGGATAGGTTGATCTGCCAACAAAGCGGCACATGTACCTCTTTTCAGAGAGACGTACATAGTGGTATTCCAGAGAGTCGCGTTGATTTGCGTCCGGGTGACGATGCTTGCGTATTTAATAGACGTTATGGGGGACTAACGGGGGAGGATGTTGGTATTATATTGATTCTATAACACCAACAAAATTGATTACATATCATACGTATCGTTCCTCAGAGATCATAGGCTCCGGATGTCGTTTCATCATTACCGAAACAATCAGGTGGTATGTATCCGCTCCACGTGCTTCGTAAACGTGTCGTGGGATAAGCTAAGATGCAACACCGGTACCAAGTCACCTGTGAATTGCATAAGAGATCTATTACGACAGAGTGAATTGGTGATCGCGTACTGTGATTGATAGGATTGGGGGGTGGAGTCTGGACTGGAGGGACGATCTGTCCGCTACTCGACGTCAGTATGGGGCTGCAGGTCATAAGGACTGGGGAAATACCTGATACGCGGATGTGAGGATGGGAAAACGTCTCTCCATTTCATGAACCAGAGCCGCTGCGAGCTTCCGTATTTCAGAAGTTGACATGCGTCGGAGGGAGTGACTCGTAGCGTCTTGCCCAGGTTGATTCACTGATCAAGGATTGGGGCATCAGAAGCTGAATTAACAATGCTGCGCAGATGGACAAACCGGAGGACATAATCGTTCGATAGTGTAGCTCGCTGGTGACTTGATTAACCATTTGAACGAAGAGTAGGAGTTTCATTCGCCGAAGGGTGTCATTCCATCGGGGATGCAACGAGATCGCGTCTGCCATGGAATCAGGAAGGGGATGAGGACCTACGTGAGGTCACTACCAACCTGGGTCCATAGCGGATTGTAGGAATTGATGTGCAGGGTATAACATCATAACCGTCACCGGAAGGGGACGGGTTGATCCTGCTACACAGACGGTTGATTGAGGAGAGTCGGGCTGTGGGTGCGGCTGCCTGGCCATGGCTCCACCTGATCCTTCAACGTCCAGTGAGCTTTCCGTAATAGCGCAATGGGTCACCTCCAGGAAGGCAGATTCCATGGGAAGCAGATATGTAAAGCAACGTCAGATATTGCAAAGAAGGGAGTAGCCAAGCCAATGGAAAACACTTTTATTGGTCCCCGTTGCCGGCAAGCGTTGGGAATGCGGAGGCTTTATACCAGTAAGGCAAAGGGATCGTCACAAGCAGGCTTCGTTGTGACTAGCCTCTAAGACACGCAACTGAGATCGGGAGACGTTAAAACACCAATATCGAGCGGGGTTGTCAACGTCGATATGTGATTACATCCCATGTTACACCGCGAGGAAAGAAGGTAGGAAGTGAAGGTGTAATAGCGGACAATACACATGAAGCCGCCAGTGAGTGTCTCGACAGCCCATTATATTACAACGAAAACTCTCCCTGAATTCTACCGTGTCAAAGGAACCCCTATTGCGTATGCTTGTGAAGAAGGGCAGGACGATGGCGATGATTTCTAAGCGTCTTCGTGGACGAGATTACCCAGTGAAGCGCCTTTCAGAGTCGACCCTATCGCGATATCACTGCCTTCCTCATAGAAGTACACATGAAAGGCTTCCGGCAAATTGTCCGCGACGTCGGGGAGGGGATACTGCACGGGAAGTCGCCTATCCGCATAGCTTTCAAGCCAATTCGTCATGGAATCATGGTCTGACAACTGACTGGGATGCCAACTGTGCGTGGACGGGCTTTGAGGGAAATCGCCGGGCCGATCGTGCTCGTGCGCAAAGTTTTCGATTGGGATAGGCTGATTGGCAGGACGGGAAGGAATCTGGGGCGCAAGACCGGGATAAGAGCCGATAAGAGATTGCTCTGTTGTTATTGTCTGCGGTCTTGACGAGCTGGCGGATCCGAGGGTGTCGGGAATGGAGAAATTTCGGAGAACGCTACCAACGAGACGCATGATGTCGGCAGATGGCGAAGCTTGGTGAGCGGTAGGTACGCCTTCAGGAATAGACACTGGGGGCGACAGCATGACGGTAGTAAGTTCAACGTCTCCAGGTTGAATGGCCGCTGGTGTTGGGGTGGGACGCGGAGAAGGTTGGTGATATTGCATGGATGTTAACCCACGCTGGAAGGCAGCAATGACATTGACAGCACCGTCCGGAAGAGTGAGGCTGAAAGGGACGTCCAGGTGAGGTAGGCGGCCTGAATGGCGGTATCGATGCTATAACCTAAATATTAGAGGAAACACCAAATATTAGTGAAGGGGACTAACGTAGGATGTCATAAATTGATAGACCAAGTCGTGACCAACACGCACTGCGTCCAAAGGCATTTGAACACGGGCCTGACGATTCAACTCTGCGATAACGATGGCGAATAAGATATAGTGGAGACCATCCGCCGGTACCTGGTGCCAGTCGCCGAGAACATCATCGATGGCGTCCTCCTCGGGAGGTTGAAAAAGGCACAAACAAGCTGTTGAAATCATTCGTCAGCTATCTTGACTAAATAGAAAGATTTTACACAGGGCGGCGCGGACTCCGACTAGTCGCATCCACCTCCAGAGCTGGTTAAAGCCATGCCCCCACGATTGGGCCTGTATACGAGGAGGCGTTTCACTGAGTCGAGCAGAGAAGGTGTCGGGATCGAGGGATTGTAGACGGCGAACCTGGCTGTTACGTACGGCAAGCGTTCGGGGGTCGGCCATGTTTCGAGTACCTCAAGTGTACACCTGCGATGTCTTTAAGCCAGACGTTGACCGTGCCTTGCAGCATACACGCTGAGGCCTTGCGGACTCCTTAGCGAGGTGGCAAGACAGGATTAGTAGCTTCCAGAAGAGACGAAAAGTAGATATTTCTGTGTACATCGCAGAAAACCGGCGGATGTGCAGATAGAAGATGTACAGGCCGCCTTATCAACACGCCAGCATAGCGAGGGAGTCCTTGCGGAACACAACAATGCATGGGGACCCGTCAACAGCTTCGGCCGACATTGGCGGACGAGGACTGCCAGCGCAGTTTCACCTTTACCGCCACCTGGACGTGCAACCCACAACAACCCAAAGCTCAATCTGGTGCCCAACAGACAAGTCGTTTGATACCACCATGAGCGCCACAGTGAGTGAGGGCTTGTTGTTGACAGGTTTCACGGAGCTGATAACTTAGGAATTGCTGAGCGACATCGACCAGAGGAGAATTGATGACGTGGTTGACCAGGTGCAGATGTACCTTGAGACGTCCCGTGCGTTGGGTGGTTATCGAGGAGTGCTGTACTAACGTCAAGGGAGTATTAGACGAAAGATTGCCCACCTTGTATCGAGCGATATCGCCAGATCTTCGTCGCAAGATTGTTCTCAGTCGGGCCCTCGGCGCGGTCAGGCAGCACGAAACGTGGACAACAATGTTATGCAATATGTCCAACACCCCATCTGGCAAGGTGGAAGACATCTGGCGCACACATGCGCTGGATGTGCTGCAAACGTTCCAGGTCAGCGGTTAACCCTGGGTTTCGTGGAACGACTGACACGTTGACTAACAGGAATGCGGAGTCACTACCCATCGTCTCTCGGTTTAGGCAGTCAAGGAGGTGGAGAGTATATTAGACGCTGGCAAAGATATACGCACGGGAGTGTGAGGGGATGATATTGGCGTCAATGTGGGGACGGCGTTGCGGAATTGTGAACTCTCTTTCTCAAAGCGTGTCTGGTGAAGGCAGTCTTCATTGCGAGCTGAAGTTTATTATGTACACACGTATGGAACGAATAGATGGGATTGTGGACAACTTCGGTTTCAGGAGCAGTGGCACTAGACGTTTGCTTGGACAGAATACAGAGCATTGCGTAAGACGAAGTGACATTCGAATAGTATTGTTCAATGTTAGTACAGCGTAATCACTTGTATTTGGTAGGGAATGTACGGAGAAAGGATATCTAAATCTGTCCAACGTCAGAGCTGAACGCGGGCCTGCGCTTCGATTGGACGACGTATGGGCGCATATACGTCATCAACGGCCCTCATCGCTGGAAAAACGATACGAATGAAGGAATTATTCTAACGCTAAAGATTGTGGATAAGGCTGGGGTATGTCAATGGGCCCAATGGCTCGATGAGTTCCCCTGACGTTTTGTAGAATAAGATGCTGGTCGGGTCGTTTGACCCCGTCGCAGTTGATCGCGTGATGGCAGAGGCAGCTGTGGGAAAGGTTCGAAGTAACCTCACATTGGAGGCCCGATTGTTACTCACGCATCGTTCTGCAGGTGATGAAACTCAGCAATGTGCGAGTGTGTCCAGTGAAGGAAGAATTTCGCGAGCCGGACATCTTACCTTTCCAAATGATGTTGAAGTACAATTCCAGTTTCTCATTCCCAAATTCTGTCGGTCGAAATGTCTAGAAAGCCGGACAATCTACTGCCTGGTTCTTAGGACTTCGAGATACCCGCCATGTCCATGCAGTTGACAGGCATTCACCTGCTCCGCGGGTTGGAATTCAAGTCTCGGGTGAACGTTCTGGGTGTGGTCCTGCACGTAGGGCAGGTGGCATCGTTTTCCCAAAAAAAACGTGTCGCTAGGGAAGTAGATGCCGATGGGGATGAAGGAGATGATACGGCGGAACGCCGCCGCCTCGAAGTACAGCTGGTGGACCAATCGCTCTTCGTTGTCCGCTTGACTCTCTGGGATCAAAAAGCAGACGACTTTAAGGGGAAGTGCGGGGACGTTTTGTTACTGAAAAAAGTTGTTGTGGTGAATCATGGTGGAGTGAGCTTGAACGCTTACAAGTTCACCAAACTGGAGTTCGAACCCAATATTGCTGGGGTTACTGAGTTGAAGGACTGGTGAGATACAGTAATACATGCGGCTTATCATTGACGATGCTCCAGGTACAAGGCATTGCCGCCAGAGCCTGCGCTGAAACACATGTCTTCTGGTTACAGTGCTTCTGCCGGCCTTCAGGACGGGATTGTTCCGCGGTCATCCCCCTTATCTATCAAGGACGTGTTGGAATCGAACCTGGGTCATGGTGCGAGAGTTGATACGTTCCACTTGGAAGAAGCTATCACTGGATTCGATCGTCAAACTCTCTACGAAGGATGCCGCCACCCGGACTGCAATAGGAGCTTGGAAAATCGTGAGCATGTCTGTGGAATTGCCAGTCATGCAGTTCAGACGCAGGACGACGGTGAAAAAACGTTGGTGGTGAGTAGTGAAGCCATATGCTTCCCAGACCGACTACTCAACTTTGCCAAGTTATAAGGTGGTGATGACTGTCGGGACGAAGGCCAAGGAAATGCTCAAGCTCATGGCATTCTCGCCCGTGGCAGACGAAATTCTGAATGAAGCACCGGAGGAGTTGGTGAAAATGAGAGTAGGTCTCTTCCCCGAAGATCCCAATACGTAACTGAAGCAACGCAGGACAATAACGAAGGCGGGTATGACGCACTATTGTCTTCCAAGCTTGGGGCAATTTACAAATTCACCATTCAAGCTCGCACTCGCCGCTGGAAGGTAACATTCATGCTCAGTACCACGTCGTCGCCGCCCACCTGAGAGAGGAAGACGAGGAAGAACAGGCCGTGGAAGAGGTGGAGGATGAGGGGGACGGGGACGGGGAGGAGGAGAATGCGGGGGCGAAATGGTCCTATGAGTTCTGAGAAGATTGTCTGCCCATTAGTCTGCTACGATAGATTACGCTTATGATTGTACAACTATGCAAACGTTACACCTGCCACCCATACTACGGACACCTATCCCGAATATCCTGAGATTATCCGGCGGATTATCCCACGGAGCGCTCGAGATTATCCCGAAGCGACCGTACCCAGAGCGCCCAGGGATTATCCAGTTTGGCGCTCTTAGAGCGTCTAGGATTATCCAAGTCGACTGAGTCGGCTCGAGCCATCGACAAGATGACCAAGTTTGCTGAAATAGTAAGTGAGCCTTCTTGGCGATACCGCTACTTACACAAGCCTGAGCAGGAAGATCAACGGTTACGGGAGCTCTATATGTACGGCAGCATCATTTCGATGTGAACCGCACTGGAAATGGTGGTCTCGAATATCAATCTCAAATTTGTCCTTCCGAAGGAAGCCGGGGTGCGTATCTGGTGTTGTGGTGATGCCCGCTGACGGACAGCTGAGCATGTATTGCAGATGGAAGTGCAGAAGGAGATTTACTGCTATCTCCTCGGTTGGCGATGCACGGGTTATAGGCTAGCTGCCTTGAATACAATGATGGTCCGCTTGCCCTCAGCAATGTTTGGATGGACTACCTAAGTCATGCGGGTAGACCCATCTTCAAAAGCCTGAAGTTTGCAATTGCCTTCGGCTTCCACAACACATCTTCAGCATCGCATCGCGACATACCCAGTTCAGACAAACGGTCGCAAGATATATGAGTGATAGACGTGGGCAGATGTTGAAGAAGGTGAGGAGTCCTATCGCTAACCAATGGCCAATGGCACTGACCCTCCGACTGCCTGAACAGCTGGAGGCAACTCTGGCCAATGACATCATCGACTTGGTGCATGAGCTAACCCTGCCTCACTTCCCTATGCACTTTCATCGATGGCATTATTCACGATTTGCATTTATGGTAAGCTTGACCTCCCTCTGAATGACCCAGACTGACAACACCGGTAGAGAAAGCTGCTTCGAGTATTCCACAAGTTCGGAGGTGGTGGGCAACCGACGGGGAGGAAGAGACATGCTCCAGCAAGAGGTAGGAAGGGTAAGGGGATTGCTACGGACTTGGGAGGGCTGGAGGAATCGGGTGATGAGAATGACAAAGAGAATGAGGACAACCCGGGGGGATTTCTGGGTTTATGTTGATAAAGAGATGGCGAAGATCTATCACACTTACCGAAGTGAGCCAGGAATGATTCCTCAGTGAGTGATGTACTGCCTACTGGTTCTGGGATCTAAGGGCTGTTAGAACCTTCGACACCATCTACAAGGAAGACAAGGCTGCGTTCACTTTGGCCACCTTGGGCTTGAGGTCAGCGCTGGTTCACCCTCCTGAAGGGGGATTCCCATGGCAGACTGCTGCAGAGTCGGCAGGATGGGCTGCTCACCAACCAAGTGGATCTCAGACCTGCATGACCTCTGGCCCTGCGAAGAGGAGGCACACAGAGCGGTGAGGGTAAGTCATTTTCATGATTTGGATGACTTGGGGCTGATATGGTGTTGTGGTGATGCTCATCAATAGCAAGATCGCAAGACGTTTGACAAGTGGGAAGGAGGATTGGGGTGCTTGGTGGTGTTGTGGTGATGCTCGACCATCAGCCCATTGTACATTGTTAATATTAATTAATGCTGTGGCGCTGTATTACAGCCAATAATCCGATGATACGGTGTTCCGAACGGAGCCAATATAATGATGGGGATCTGACCCCGGGGAGACGGTCCGAGGAGCCGGGAACAGAAAAGGATTCACAGAGAAATCGGGACAGAACTATTCCTCTGTGAAGCCACAAGCCTATTCTTTCTCAAGTGCCGAGAATAACCGGTTGCGGTCCGATTCGGCGCATGTGTGTACCGAACCCGCTTGAAGCATGCTCCGGGGCCCCGCATTGAGTATTCTGGGGAACTGGGGTCATCACATGGTAAACAAAGGACAGGTAATACATACAATGCTGTTGAAATGATTGATTAACGCCGAGTGGCACAGGTAAGCTTATTGAGCCTCTCCGTCCCCGGTCCGGTCATGCGCCACGTCGGCGTAAAGATGTGGCGGTCCCCTGAAGTCGGTCCGGGTTCCGGGTCTTCTGTCATCCCACAAGTTCCCCCGCAGTTTTCACCTTCCTAAAACTAAATGAAGCTTAGCATGCCACAACCAAAAAAAACCTACAAATGTAGGGGGGTTCTTGTTCCATGGTTTCGACCAGTATGGACAATTGGTTGGTGGGATCAGGCATATGCTCGTGCAGAAGGAGAAACGGCAAAGCAGAGTTGGCTTGTTTGACCAAGCAGAATGAATTTGGCAGCCTAATAGGGGTTTCTCGCAGGAAAGCAATTGTCGTGAACAGCCTCTAGTATTCTTTGGTCGGTCTAGGGTCTCCATCGGTGACAACCTAATCAGTTTGCAGCGGTTCCATGAGAGTGTGAGTGGGGTTAGTCGTTCGGGCGGCGTCTATCTCTGCGAAGCTTGGACAAAAGGCAAGTCTTCTTCCTGCAACAGATGTTGTTGTGACATTTCAGCGGACACCTCTGATATGCATAACGCCCTCTGAATGATTCCTCTCATTAATGCCCTGGAAAAGTTTGAGGCGATAAGAGCAAGCATTCGCCGTATAGAACCCGTGATCCTGTGGCATATATATGGATACGGTACGCGAGAGCGTAATGGCGAACGTGTCGGCGTCTCCGCTAGAGTTCGTGATTCACCGCTAAATATTTTTAGCTAACACATGTAGTTTGGATGAATATTATTGTCCCGCGGGACATGCCGTAGTCTATTGAACGTTTTTCAGCTGTTAACGGCTAGACAAGGTACGAGAAAAGCAGCACACCTTTACCGTGGTTCAGATCTACACCAGGGCATATTTCACCAAATCTGATCATAATTCCTATTTCTGCCCGCTGGCTGACTTCGCACCAGTGGTACAAGAGTGTGTCCACGCTCGTTCACAACTTGCTACACTGGCGTGCGCCCGCCAACGAAAGTTTCGCAGCAGAACGCTGGGCAGCATGCTGATATATTCTATCTTCCTATCTCGTCATCGAGAAGGATCGGGGAGCCCGGAAGGAATATGCATCGTTGATTATGGTTGATTGAAGCGACACACGAGCTGACGATAGTACGCGATGCATGCGAGCTGCTGGCACATCATACGGAGTAGAACTGGTGCATCTTCGGTAAATACGATGAAAAGCAAATGTACGTGTACCTCACTCACCACTTCGGACACTGATGTTCCAAGTTGAATGTCTGCAATGCCCGCGCAAGGCTCCTTTCAAACGTGGAGCCGAGCAGAACAGTGAACTGGTTTCTGCCGAAATGTAGAATGAGCCATTAGAAACCGCCGCTGTAAGGCATTCTACATTGCAGTCAGTGTTGTGTTATACATGGCATCCTGGTGAGGAACTCACCCTGTTAGCACTCTTTTCTAGTGATCTTCGCCGACTCCTGCTTTTATCCATTCCAGCCTTGGATGTTGCACAAACGACGATCTTGCCACCTACATTAATATATTCGGTGTCGTGTTCAGCACGATTGGACAGTCGTCTGCGTGGCTTGAGCAATAAACGGCCGGATCGGCATCCGTCTTGAATGTTGCTAGACGACATCGTCCATTATGTAGAAGCCATTGTTACACAGTGTATATTGGCAGTTATTCCGCCAGAATATTCTAAGCATGTTACTTGTTGGTATGTCGACGTGTGAATGGTCATGAGCAGTTGAAGGCTCGTCGATTTGGTCTCTGCGCGGTAGGAATGAGTGGCGAAGCAAACACCTGACTTAGCGCAGAGGCGCAGGCCGTCCCCACCACCACGCTGGCTCCGAACGTCGACGGCGCGACTCCAGCTCCAATCCAGCACCTCGCCTCCACCACTCAGTCTGAAGTGGCTTATACACAAACACTCAAAGCACCGGAGGAACGTTATCTCACATCTCAAGTGTCGCGTGCGCCCACGTGATGAGGCGAGTCTGTCTCGGTAAACAGCGGGATAGCAAGATCAACCCGCCCATTCCTGGCTCTAGCTCTAGGACTTGTGCCCAAACACTCCGCGAACCTCATCATGTCAAGTCTTGCGATGAGCACGGACACGGTATTGCCTGTAGCGCCAGACTATGCGATTGGTTATTCGACGACGGAGCAGGAAGCCCCGATTGGGAACGACGGGGGGACGCCGGTCGTGGAGGAACCCTTGCGTCGCGCGGTCAATCCATTCTTAGCGGACCTCATCTCTACCATCCGCGTCCAAGGACTCGATCGTGATCCGGAGGTGCGTTGGCTTTGTGGGCCCATGGCCGATGCGTTGACTGAAGCATGGACAGGTTGCAAGCATCTTGCACAAATTACTCTGTGGTCCGGATGAGGTCACAACATTCATCACCGAGCTCGAGCAGACCGGCATGAGCTTCCAGTCCATGAGCTTGCGCGAGAACAAGAGCTAGACGAGGTGGATGCCTGTGGTGCTTCAGATATATTCGGTGCGAGTTCACACCATGGTACGCAATGATTCTCGGGACCTAACCCTTGCCCTAGACGTAGCCCGAGCACCCACTGTGTTCAGTAAACGGAGGCCGCCAAAAGGGTGGAGGTGTTCAGGGAAGAGAGCATGGCGCGGGAATATTTGTGTATTTACAAGCAACAGGATATTCGTTTCTGAGAATGCTATGATGTATTACGGTGGTGAAATTTGCCCAAGTGCTGTGAGGGCCAGGTGGAAGGAAAGGGCGTCGGCATTTACGTACACCCGACACTTGTGGGACACGACTGAATTTCTAACAACCAACACAACCTTCTATTGCTAGAGAGATCGAGCTACAGTACTGCGTGATAATCCAAGTGGATGGCTCCAAGAAGGCCTCCCAACCACGGGGACTATGGACATGAAAAAATAGACAAAATGAGGTTCTAAGCCTCCACACTCCGCGCGACAGCAGCATCCTCGGCCATCTTTTTCAACACATCAAACTCGGTCTTTCCCGTGCTCTTGCACAATGCATAGAACATCGACGATGGGTTCGCAAGCAAGTTCACGGGCTCGTCGAACTCCGCAATACGTCCCTGGTCCAGCACCAAGACCTTGTCATAGTCAATAACAGTTCTTAGACGATGGGCAATCGTTAGGATGGTGCTATCAGCAAACTCATCTCTGATAGTCTTGCCAATCAATTCATCGCTGTATATATTATCAGCGAATCTCAATGGTAGGTAATGGAATCAAAAGCGTACGTCTGATAGTCTACACTCGCTGTAGCTTCATCCATCAGAAGTACCTTGCTACGCCGCAAAATTGCACGAGCCATACTGTACAAACTGATCAATTCCCATTCGCAATTCAGTAGTAAAATGCCTTACCAAATGAGCTGTTTCTCACCAGCTGAGAAATTCTCACCTCCCTCTGCAACATTGGACTCCAAGTTCTTGAAGACATTGACATTCACTTCACTTTCTCCGTTCTCACTGCCTGCTCGTGACGTTGAAGGCTCATCGTCAACCGGAGGGAGGAGATGCACACGTCTCAACGCCTCGAAGATTTCTTGATCCTCATACTCATCAAATACGTCGAGGGTTGACCTGAGAGTGCCAGAGAAGATAGTAGGGTCCTGCGGGATGATGGTGATCCTGGATCGCAGATCCGTAAGGCCGATCTTAGTGATGTCGATGCCATCGATCACGATCTTGCCTTCATATGGCTCGACGAAGCGGAAGAAAGAAAGCGCTAGAGTACTCTTGCCACATCCAGTCCTGCCCAACACGCCAATCTTCTGCTTGGCTCCCACAGAGAAAGTCAGACCATGCAACACGTTCGGAAGGTCAGGAGCGTAGCGAACGACCAGGTTATCGACGTCGATGTTGCCCTCGGCGGGCCATGATGCTGGGGGACGGGACTCGACGAACTCGGCAGGTTCTTGATCCACCTCAGAGAACTCGTTCACCCGCTCGAGCGCAACCATGCTCTGTTCCAACCCTACGAAGCGGCGAACCATGAACAACAGATCATTCATCACATTAGACGCAAAAGCTAGCGCGAAACCAGCGAATGAGGCGTCAATGTTGCGATTGAGGAGTATGACCAGAGCTGTGACACCAACGACAGCAGCTGAAAGCAAATTAAATCGAGCAGAGAGCCACCGGTTGACGGACCACATCCAGTAGTAGGGATTCGTATTGGTATCAACCAGTTGAAGCATCTCACGCAGGATCTTAGTGGAGGCACCAAAAGCACGCAGCACCCCCACACCGGAGATGGCATCGCCATAGATGGTATATAATGGCGACTTAGTGACCGAATCTAAACGCAGAAATAAGGCCCATGAGGACGATTCGTACACAATATGACATACCAAGACGACGCATATCACGAGCTGTTTGGCCGTATAACTTTGCAACTTGATAATACAGGAAGCCGAGGAAGCATGCTGCCACCATGAAGCCAACGCCGCCAACGTAAGAGACCGTGATGAATGTGGTCACTACATTCAGTCCATAGAAAAGTGTTCGCCCGAAGTTGTCTGCTAGAGACGAGTCCAAACCTTCAAAATCCTTGCCGAATCGGTTGAGAAGACGGCCCCGGCTGACGGTATCATGGAACCGGATCTTGGCAAACAGCACTGCTTCCAAAAGACGCTTGTAAAGGACAGTGGACGCGTGAATAGACCCCTCATCTAATTGGAAATTGGTCAGCCCAAACATTCATGTAGGATAATAAATATACTTACAGACCACAAGGAGCCGTGCGCTCATTATGATGAGAGCAGCAAGACTCAACTATAGCACCGTTAATGTCACTCAGAACATCGTGAACGAAATACACATACTATACCGTAGATACCAACATAAAATATTGGAGAATGAGTTGCATCCTGATTCATGCCGTTCGCCGACCAATACCGGAGCCAAGCATTCTCCACCACCGGCATGGCGGAGCTGACAAGCAGAGCGATAACGAAGAGGGTCCAATAGAGCCAATTGCCGCAAGCATGAACGTACAACAGCCAGATCTTCTTTCCGATGCGGCCAACAGCACGACGTTCTTCTTCTACGACTTTACGCGGTCCTTTCTTCGCAACCTTCTTATTCTCGCTGGATGGAGAGTTTGGCACAGCAGTAGATGTAGTCGAGTCCAATAGCGGCCCGGGCTCGTTCTCTTTTTCTTCTTTCGCCACCTCGTCGGCAACTTCCTCAATTGTCTCCTCCTTCAAAGCGACTTCCTGCTTCTTGGCCTCCTCCACATTCGCCTTCTCCAAACCCTCCATTATGTCAGAAGACCGGAAGTCATCCGGAGAGCCACTGAAGAGAAGACGACCGTTTTCAAGCGATACAACGTAAGAGGCCCCAGGGAGGCAAAGCTGAACATGATGCGAAACAAGGATGATCGTGCGGCCACGCATGAGTTCTCCTTTAAGGCATTCTTTGAACAGGTGGTGGGCGGTGTGGGCATCGACAGCACTGCATACAAATCAGATGTCTACTAGAGAGTGTTTCAAGCGACACGCACCTCAGCACGTCATCCAGCAATAACATTGCCGCCCTAGAGTAAACGGCCCTAGCAAGCGAAACTGTGGGGATATCAGTACTGCTCAAAATGGAGTGTGTTTCCAATACGTACTTCTCGCCTTTTGCCCCCCAGACAAATTGACTCCCCTCTCACCGATCTCCGCCATATCGCCATCCTCTAATATCTCTAGATCCGCCTCAAGGGCGCATACATGTAATGTCTTCTGATAACGTGCTTCATTGTACGGCAAGTTGAAGAGAATGTTGTCTCTAATGCTCGCGTTCTGCAACCAGGCGGATTGCGGGACGTACGCGACGACGCCCTGGACAATCCATTCCTCGTCCGGAATGCTACCGAGCTCAGAAGCTTGTGCAAGAGTATTCGCCGGCGTGCGAGGGCAAACGATCTGCCCGGCCAAAAGGTCCGCTTCACCGAGCATCCCGAGAAGAAGAAGGGTTTTTCCACTGCCCAGCTTGCCGCAAATCAAGCTCAGTTCGCCCGCGGGGAAACTCAACGTCAGATCAAGGAGAGAGAATTTGCCCCTCGGTGTAGGTGCGATACTGGGCGTCGCTGACGTGCCCATGTTCCGATCTTGTGGCCAGGTGATCGTAGCGCTGTTCAGCACGATGTTGCCATCCTTATGTAGGGACATTGGTGGTTGGATCTCCGCACTGCTGAGATACTTCTCGATACGCCGTACAGAGACAAGGGATTGCATCATGTTGATGAAGGTCTCCGGCAAAGCCGACAGGGCGAAACGGAGTTCATTGAACACACTGACGCTGGTGAAAGCGATGCTGGGTGTGAGGACTTGACCACGAATGACAGAGAAGTGCCAAAAGGATACGAGGGTTACAAGGACGGGAGAGGCGAGCCAGATGAATGTGAATGCGGTCTCGATGATATAATTCAGACGCTGGAAACGAAGTTCCTTCGCCCGGACAGCGAGCACGCGCTTTTCGGATGCTCGCTCCCACGCCATAAATTTGACCATTCGTATTGCACCGAGTAGCTCGTTCATCAACGCGACACGCTCGTCACGGGCCTTCATCAGGTTATCCTGCGCATACACGACTATCTTGGATGCCATATGGGAGAGAGGGAGGAACACTGCAAATATCAAGATCAGTTACACTACTTTTGGACGTATGGCACGAAGGTGACATACAGATAGACACCAGCAGGCCTAGCAAGCTCGACACACCCAACAAGTTGTACAGGAAGACGCTCCCTATAACGATTTCCACAGGAGCGTCGATGAGCGAGAAGAAATGCCACGAGAATTCGGACACGCGGTCCACATCGACCGTCATGAGGGTCACGACCTGCGCCTTGGAGGAGAATTCGGCCTCTTCTCCATCCTTTTCCTTCTCCTTCTTGTCCTTGTCGTCCTTTCCATCCTTCGTGCTGCCTGCATCGGACGCGGCGGGGGTGGCGCCTTCAGAGACGGGCGAAGAGGACGAGGACGAGGCCACATCTTTCCGAACAAGCGTTTTGGCGAAGAGACTCGTATTGAGCTGCACGCGAAGGCGCGTCTGAAGCGTGGTCGTGGAGATGCCCCACAGTTGGCCAGTGATCACTGGATGTATCAAATGAGCATACAATGATCAATATTGATTTCAAATGCGAAGGCTTACAGAAGTTTATCGAATTGCTTAAGAACAGTCCAAGCGCATACACCCACCCCCATCTTGGGTCCTCTCTCTCCGGATCCATCTCCAAATATCCAATCAATTGTCTTAAGAAGAGCGCCGGTGCGTAGTATAGCACTGCGCTCACGCTAGCGAGCACGATTTGGATTGTAAACGCGGTGGCATTGACGCGCATGATGCGGTACATCAGCTCCCATCCACTTCCTGGGGTCGGCTTCCACGAGCCAAACAAGGGTAGGCGGCGAAGACGTATTGTTTGCATAGCACGGCGCATGATGGTGTAGATCGTTGTAGCGCGCATGTCAGCGGGTACGATAGGCAGATCCCGAATCTCCAGGCTCTCGGAAGTGTACCCAAGCATGACCACAGGTGTGGTATAGCTGAATAGGAGGAAACCCGCGACGGAGGTCTGTACGATGCCGCAGACATTTTCTTTTGATGTGGGTGCGGAGGTTGCGAGCGTTTTGGCGCTATACACGTGCGAGGGGGGAAAGTGGAGAGGGGGACCACGGGGAATGGTAGAGACCAGTGACAAGAAGATCAGGTACAACCCGAGGACTGTGTACTGGAGTGGAGGGATGGCCGAGGCGAGATCAGGAGCGGCGGCTAAGACCTCGGCAAGTACTGCATCATCTGGCAAGAGAGCGCTCACGCCCAGCAGCAGCACTGCGGCCGCAGTGAGCGCGGATAGGTGGATAAGTCCTGCCCAATGCGCGCGCACCTCGGAGTCGGTGATGCTGTATGCGGCGAACAGTAGCAGGTAGATGGCGAGGGCAAGACGGAGTGCTGATGCAACGATAGGGTTTGGCGAGCTGGTTGAAGCAGCCAGTATGCCGACAGTGATAGCCTCGCAGGCAACAAGGAGGGCGAGGGTAACCGTGAGAGCGATCTTGCGCAGCCTTGTCTGAAAGAAGGTCAGAGTCGTATAAAGGAGCATACGTGAGGGGAACGCACCTGCTGCCAAAACGCATCTTCATCCACCGGTGTGCCGTCAAACAGATCCTCCGGTTTTGCAACCATGAACAGGTCCTCCTTCCCTTCCAACGGCTCTACTACAGTCTCCGACTCTGTTCCACTGTCATGTAGCTGGTCATTGAGGGATGCTTCACTTGATGTTTGTAAGCGAATTCGACCTATTCGAGGACGAGATAGAAGTAGAAGGATAGCTGACAGCAGCCCACCAGATGCGAGTGCAACAGCAGTGGGGAGGACATGGACGAATGGCATGCTGCGTTAGATGCTGGCTGTTGAATGCGTATGAACAGGAGACAAAATGAGCGAAAGGGCGATTGGTGCTATTGCGGTCTATATGTGGCAGTTCACGGCAGCGTTGGCCAAGGAGATTGTCTGCGCCAGGATGAGCGTTGTCACTATGACTCTGCTCTTGTACCAGATAGAAGAGATGACCAGGTCGAGGAGCACACGGGCAGAGAGTAAGGAGGGAGATAGGATGGCTAATCTTGGACTCTGTTGACCGTGTGGACGTTGGCTGTGGCGTGTGAGAGCTCATCGTCGTTTCACATGGCACTCGCCGCTGGTCATGCTCTCCGCCAATCATAGCTCGCCTTATAGCGCTTTGAAATTAAGAGCGTTTAAAAGAACTCATATCTGCACGCGGTCATTCCATAAATTTAATTTCTGGATAAGCAACGTAAAGGCGGAGGCGGATGCATGACGTGCATGAACGACCGGCCTCGGAGTTGCGGAGGAACTAGGTGAGGGTCCCCTCCTCATGGAACAGTCACAGAACTACCTCAACTACCAGATTGAAATGACAAGAGACTTGACAGAGGAAACCCTGTCCAAATCGTAGTAGTTCATCTCCACTTTGCTATATATGAAGGAGCTATGAAGGAGAAGGAGAAGGGACGACGTGAGTATTAACTCCAATATAGAACATGACCTAACTATGCATATATGCGCATAGTATTCTCGACCGTTGCACCACTAGGTCAGCCTCTGACTGTGTACGTAACTTAATTGGAATAATAACACTTTGCTAGAACTTTCATCATCAGACGATGATTTCACACCATCCGCCCTTCTTCCACCTACAAAGTCTCAATCGACAGCCAATAGTAGCCAGAGACGAAAGGTTTTGAGCTTGCCCCGCAATGCTGCAGACAGGAAACCGGCCGCAGGGCCGTCGAGACCTTCTCGTAAGGCGCCGCTTACAATTCACTGAGCTGGTGCCATATGCATTCTAGGTGGCAAATCCCAACGACAAGAGGCTCCAGATGATGTCGCTGTGCGCACATCCCTGCTTTCCCTGCTGGGTCTTTCCCCAGAGGATCTAGCCGATGACGACGAAGCGGATGCTGCAGAAACACGCAGTGGAGAGGAAGATCCCGAAGATACAGCCGACCGTATCTCGAAAGAAACAATGATCCGTCAACGCAAGTTGGAAGACGGTGTGGGAAAAGAAGGGGAGGCGAAGAAGATGAGAGCAAGCGTTTTGGAGAGCGAGACTGAGGAGGAGGAAACCGAGTCAGAAACTGAGCTGGAAGATGAGGACGAGGGGATCCCTGTGCGGCAGCCTGTTGGGATCACGATACCTGGTACTGAAGATGGTGAGCCTCATTGAGGTTTATGCCATCCAGCAGTGCTCACATGTCAGAATAGGAGAAAGTGATACTGAACCCGAGACGTCTGCCCTTTCCCTGCCCATACCAGTCCTTCGCTCTTCCCAGTCGTCCCAGCTGAACTCTGAACCCACGACCCAGCTGCGTCCCGCTTTCCTTCCCACTTCTGCCCAATCCACCATCGGCGCCCTCTTGCTCGACCCAGAGACAGGCACCCAGGTACCAGCAAGCATCAACAGATTCTTGAGAGATTACCAGAGAGATGGAGTGCGGTTCTTCTGGAATTGCTGGAAGGAAGGGAGAGGGGGCGTATTAGGCGATGATATGGGCCTCGGTACGTCTCCCTTGCGTGATTGGGCAAATATATGCTGATCAGTTTCTGCAGGCAAGACTATCCAAGTGATCTCATTCCTCGCTGCCATAACTCGACGCACTGGTGATGCACGCGACGCCGACAAACGTCGCAAACACGTCCTTAAGCTACAACGTCGTCTCTTTTCCTCCCAGTTGCCACCTGCCGATTCTGACAGCCCGACATGCCTCATAGTCGCCCCCGTGTCGCTGGTGGACAACTGGGCGAGAGAACTAGATACGTGGGGCTGGTTCGAATGGGCCAAGTATACCAGTAAAATGACTCGGTTAGAGAGGGAGGATGTTGTACGGGACTTCCGCATTGGAAGGTTGGATATCGGTATGTTTTTCCTTTGCACCATCGATTACTCATTCTCGTTCTCTCTCTGTTTCCGTACATCATTGCAACTCACGTTTTGATAGTGCTTACATCCCACGACTGCGCCCGAGGTGACATCGAACAGCTCGCCGACCTCCGATGGAGTGTAATCTTCGTAGACGAGGCGCACAAACTCAAAAACCCACACAGTCGTCTCACCGAAGCAATGCACCGATTTCAACACGGGGCGCGTTTTGGGATGACAGTTCGTTTTGTTGCACCATCTTTCCGGGTAATCCTGCAGCTCACTCTCGTCGACTAGGGAACAGCCATTCAAAATTCTTATCTCGAGCTGTGGACCCTCCTCGACTGGGCTAACCCTGGCCGTGTCGGCCGCCTGTCACAATGGGAGTTTTATGTGTCCAGACCTCTGGTACTTGGGCAGAGCAGTGATGCTACAGTGTCGCAAAAGTCACGCATGGAAACCGTCAAGCGGGGCTTGGTGGAGCGCTTGCTGCCGGGAATGTTCCTGAGGCGAACGAAGGAGATCATCAAAGGCCAGGTCCGTCCCATCTCAGCCCGCTCAGAAAATTTGTTCAACCAGACATTCAGCTACCAAAGAAGACTGACAATGTTGTGTTTTGTCGCCTGACAGAGCGGCAAACAGCAGTGTACAAATTGTTTTTGCAGCATCCCGACGTCGACATCATCATCAAGCATGCTGAACCCTGCGAATGTGGCTCGAAGAAAAGGTAATGTCATCCTGTTGATGATAGACCTGATTGCTTATAGCAGTTTCAGTCGCGGGGAATGTCATCACAAATTTCTTACCACCAGTGATCCTTGGAGTAATGGTGTTCTAAAGTATATGTCTCTGTTTGTGAAACTATCGAACCACGTCGCGCTCCTCTACCCTTCAGAACACGACACCCCAGACCAGCGCATACGTAACCGTGGCTATGTCGAGTATCTCACAGAACATTTCATCGACGAGCGAGAGTTGTGGAGGGCACCAGTGGTGCAGTACGAACCTACATTGTGCGGCAAATGGGAGGTTCTCAGCACGTTTCTCAAGGCGTGGAAGGAAGAGGGTGACAGTAAAGTGTTGATTTTTAGCAAGAGCGTGAAGCTTCTGGACATCCTCCAGACGTTTGTTGAACAGGCTGGTGAGATAGTCGGTGTGCTGAAAGCTCGATCTGGGGCTCATCATCTGCAGCGTACGAGTTCTGTCGATTGGACGGCAAGGTGCCAGCTGAGAAGCGTAGGTATCGGGTAATTGGGTAAGGTAAACCATGCTGAAGGTTGGAACAGGTATGGACGAAGTCGATAGCTTCAACACTGATCCTAATGTGTTCATATTTCTCATTTCAACCTTAGCTGGAGGGGTCGGCTTGAACCTGACGGTGGGCCACATATGTTCACCAGAATGCTTTTTTCTGAACAGCTTTTCGAAGGCGGCCAACAAAGTGGTTATATTCGACCCTAATTGGAGTGAATGAGGATATACTTCAAGCTTCATTACCGTGCTCACCTCTTCTTCAGACCCGGCTCACGACCTGCAAGCAATGGACCGAGCATATCGCATTGGCCAGAACCGTGATGTCACGGTGTACCGATTGCTCGGGGCGGGTAGTCTTGAGGAGTTGGTTTATGCTCGCCAGCTGTACAAGCAAGCACAGATGCGTATCGCATACGAGGGCAGCGACCAGCGCCGATACTGGGCCGGTGTGCAGGGATACCGAGTGAAGCAAGGCGAGCTTTTTGGCATCCAGAATATCTTGTGGGTCATTGGGGTCCCTCCGGAGACAAACCTGATCCCTGTCTTATATAGCTCCCTGCATGAGACCGGCCTCGTCGTCAAATCCTCGATCGAAAAGCGCTTGACCGAGGACTTTTGCTGGGTCCTTGAAAATGTTCATACAGAAATGGAGCTAGAGGGCCTCGACATGGATGACAGCGAGGTCTGTGGGCGGTGGGAACCTCGTCTTTCTCCCATTACTCATCTCCGTGTAGAAGGGGAATCAGAATGCACTGCACTTCCTTCTAGAAGAGGGTAAGCGATACCACCACCCTAACCATGACTAAAGACCCTTTTTAGATTCGGCCACCCATCTACCTCATGAACCTTCTCACCCAGCTAATGAGAATATCTCTAACCTTAAGCAAAAGAGAAAAAGGTCGCTTGAGCATGATCAACTTGATGCATTTCTAGACTCAAGAAAGATCCACACGCATCTCAATGAGGAAGTGCTATCGAGAAGTGCAATAGACGCTGAACGGCTCAAAGCCGAAAGGAAGGCAAGTTGCTCGGCGATTCCCGCCATTTTCGGTCTTCTGAGTATTCACAGGCTAAACGTTCGAAGACACTTGCACCTGCTGACGATTCGTGGATACCGCGTCGAGCAACAAAATTGCCGGCGTAGGTCATATATTTTTTGAGATCGGTGGAACGCTAACCCGGCTTCTTTTAAAGGCAAGTATTCCAGGATAGACTTGCCATGCTCGAAGAACTGGGTGGGGCAGATCCAGACGAGCCGCTGGGGATGGATACCGTAAAGAAATTGTGTGTGGGTTAATTTCAGCTGGCATGTGCACCCCTCATGACGTGTCCCGCAGTGTGGAGATGTCTGCCAACAAGCAGAAACGTATTCTCGCAAAAATAGATCGAATGATAGCTGCCAAGAAGAAAGTACTTCCAAGTGAAGTGATTCTACCGTCGCGCCTTCCTTTTTGATCGAGAATCTGTGTACAGTATAATTATCCTTATACACTACTGCATTATTTTTTCAGTGCTTCGGTACGGAATGTCCCGGATAAGATTGTATCCATTTCTGTAAACGGCTACCAACCTCGCTTGAAGTAGCTTTCACTAGGTGTGTCGTTCCGGGATATATTGGGAGTCCGACCCAGCACAGTGGTACTTCCGTGTCAGCCAGGCGATAAGTTCGGCCCTTCTCAACTGTGACTGAGTGGGTCTCCCATTAGCAGTCAGGAAGAAGCCGCCGAAGTGGCACCATGAGTCTATGCGGGGTTATGTGGACCACGGGGCCGCAGTGCAGACCTGATGCAATTTTGGGACAAAAGCCCGCCAATTCCATAACAAAGGAGCTGCAAAGGGGCGGTTCCGAGAGTCTTACGTCCTGGACAACGAGGCTCCGCGCAGGATTCACGTTCAGTCCACCTCCATCGCGGATCTAGTGCGGGCGTTCGTGCCGGTCAGTATTGCAGCCCGTCAGGTGCTCCATCTCTGATGGTATCGAGGAGCGTGGGAGCGATATATATGTGCATGGGGCGGCAGACCCGACTACATCGCTGCATTCACCCCCTAAGATCAGGTGGGCTGGCCGACCCGACGAGACGGTGGTGTGCTTCGGACAAGCGAGGACGATGCTTGAAAGAAGCAGAAGCGATAAGCACTCAGGCACACCAATGACCACGGATCTTCTCACCATGCGCTGACCCTACCCAAGATCAGCGGTATCGCCCTACAAAACCCCTGTGGCCCATATCCCGCATGACCATACCCCCCACCCGTTTGGGAAGAATAAGCGCCTTCCGGAGCGCCGAGCCTAACCAATATTACCGCAGTTATTTGTCACACTAAATAAATAGATACAGTCACACCACCGGCGCCGCAGCGACAGTCATAGTAAATACAGTGCGGTCCGATATTATCAGGAGAGACGGTGAAAAGACACGGCGAACCAACGATAATATGTACGTACGTAAAGCCCGACCGAAGTATTACGCAGCTGGAAACCCGGGTCAAATTCCCGTGGATTAGGACAAGATTCTACTGATGCCGAGCCATTTGTTGAACAGGAAACACTTTTCGCTTTCGGTGCCCGATAACCGCGGCGCGGCGGTTCCAGCAGGTCCGGAATAAATACGGGAGCGCCACAGTCAGAAGAAAACGGGTAAAATACGCCGCTGGGGGTAGGAGCCTGAGACGGGAACGGACCAAGGTAACCAATTCACAGTAATAGAAGCGAAAGGATGACATACGTGTGCCGAACACGTCGTCGCCGCAATACCATGGTCTGCGCTCAATTCGGAGGAGAGCGGGAGCCGCGGTGGGATGTGCTGGAGATCGAACCAGTGGCACGTTGTAGCACAGGGGAGCCGGACAGGCTGCTCGGGTTGCTTCCAGTAGTGGTATTCGCGTAAGCCGAGGCATACTGAACGCGATTGTCCGAGGGAGCGCGGGAAAGGTTCGGCGATACCGAGAAGGAAGCGCGAGCTGCAGCCGCAATGAGAACAATGGAAGCATGGTGAGGTTAGGGACACTTACAAGGAGAGTCGCCCCCAGGGGCAATGGTGGCACTCGTCGCGCTTACGCGGCGATGCACCCCATTTCGGCTCTCATCGCTGAGGCGAGTAGGGCGAGGCCTGTGATGAGTCTTCTCGTACAGTCCGCAGGCGTTGCAGACCTAAATCAGGATGAGCGCCAATCCGAGAATGTGGCAAATTCGACGGATACGCACAATTTTGCCGACCTTAAGGACTGACTTCCTCCAACCCGGGGGACTTGTTGCCCCACACACATGACATTGACGTTTGAGCCAACTGGTCTCCTTGTCGGTCGCATTGTCTGTGTATTGAATACGCGCGGGATACAGCACGCCTGTACTCCCACTATGGGCCTCACGAGCAAGTCCGCCTTCCGTCGGCTCGCTCTTGATCAGGCTGTCACGGGTGCTAGTCACACCCCGACCTACTTGCGAACGCCCGCCTAGGTAGGCAGGGTTGATGCTTCCTGAAGAATACTGCAGTGTCGAGGTGTCCTGCCCGCTGCTACTGTACGAATAGTAGTCCATCGATGAACCCATGGATGAACTGTTGTTGCTTGCGGGGGAGAGGTTGTAAGAGGTATTGCTGTAGGAGTTGTTGCTGCTGAACGACGTCTGCTGTTGAGAACTGTGCCCCTGGTTGGGGTAGGTGAGCGGGGTATTGTTGTACGTGTGACCGTAAGACGTCGAATTGGTCGGCGAGTACGCGAACGGCGAGTGATTGTCGCCGCTCGCCCCAGAGTAGGGCTGGCTAAGCCTCCTAGGAATGGAGGGGTCGGCGCGACTACCCTCGTTGCTACCACCGTAGTAGGAGAGATTGTGCTCCGAGTGGTTATGCGGCGACATGTTTGAGGAATCCATATAGCTTGACCAGTGACTGGTAGCAGTGCTCATTGGGCTGCGGTGGGAAGGGTGTGGGGAACTGAAGAAGGCGAGTGGGGTCGGAAGGGGACTTAAGTACAGAAGCCCGTGGTGGTGTTGGAAGAGACCGACGGGGAAATCCGAAGACGGAAGAGTGAGGGGGGAGCGGGAGACAAGGGGACGACTTGTTTCACAGCGCGGCCGATGGCATTTTATGTGTTCAAGAGGACCCGGGGAGGGCGGAAACGCGGCAGTACCGAGGACCGGGTTGAGGGCACAAGGGGAGGGCGCTAGGGAACTTACAAGGCAGGAGTGCAGGTGCAGGTGCTTGGCCCATGGGCGTAGTTAGAACCCAGAGCGGTGGGCCTCGTTTGCCTTCGTGATTCGAAGAAGGGGGCGATGAGAGAAGTAAGACCGTGGCGAGAAGGGACGAGAGCGATGACTGGGGGTGGGAGGCGGGACCCAGGGTAGGGCGCCAGTGATGCCCCTCTTGCAGGGCTCCCATCAGTATCAATGATCGCTTGTCTTCTTTCGTTCGGCCCTGAAGAAGACCAATGTCGCTTTCCCAGTTCCAGAAGATGCCCACGGTAGCCCGCACAGCATCAGTCTTGTGATCCGGATGGTCAGGATTAGAAAGACTGCGAAGACGCTGGACAGCAAGAAGCCAAACCCGTCCAACGTCTCAAAACACGAGCACGCTGGTTTATGCCGCCTTTAGAGTTGCAGGGCCCGCTTTGTCCGGTTCTGATAGCGTTGTGACGTTAGAAATAGCATCGCTCCCCACAGGAGAAGGCGGCTATAGGCCACATGCCCGCGCACGTAGCGGTGAGAACGGGCGGGAGAGCATCGCATGAGGTTCCACGGCGCTCCGCTCGGCACAAATAATAATGCTTGGTCTGCGTTGTAATTAGCTGTAACGGTTGACCCTACCTGGTTCTGGGGTACTGCGGAACGTTGAGAAGAAAAAAAAGTGTGTTAAGGCCAGCCAAGGTGAATAATAGGCGTAGTTGGGTGGAAGTCGAATGGACATGACGTGTCAAGGTAACCGGAGGCTAAGGTCGCCGAGCAAGTCCACGGCGGACCAATAGACTACCGGCTTAGCGCCGTCCGCACACCGCCGCCTCACATCCCTGCAGGGGCAAAACCCCTCGTTACTCTTTTCTACTCACAATCCTATTCTTTCATTCCTCCAATCGGCGGAGCGAAACCGTGGGCTCTGACCAACAGACATGTCGTGCGGCGGATTCAGCTTGAATTTTCTTTCGTATGACAACCGATCATACACCGACAGCACGCAACACCTCTGTTTTGTGTGGAACTGAGCTACAGATCTCACCCGATGACGAGGCCCAATCGCAAATCTGACCAAGACGGCAAACGATAGGTCAGACTGCTTATGCTCGTGCCGGATCATACGCTCAGGATGATGCATTTGCCCAAATATTTCTTTTCCTGCATATGGACCGTATTTACATGAGCACAAATATAGTCAAGCAGCCCACGCGCTCGAATATGTGCCATTGCGGTGCAGGCCGAGTCTGCGAAACAGGTTCACCGGGCAACGCTGCGGACGGTGACGCACGCGGTCCGTTTTTACACCTGGTTTCTTCTTGCGCGCCTCTAGCGGGTGCACCATAAAAGGGGCTATATATCGCGTAATCCGAAGGGACAGTATATAAGGAAAGTGCGGACCCGGCCCTCCTTTCTCCCAAGACTGACTTGACGACGCTCACCTCTTCTGTGCTAGGTTCGGACCGCTCCAATTGCCATCTGATGTTACTCATTTCGTTCCGTCACCCACCAGTTTTTTTGCCTTTACAAAGAGAGTTCCGGGATAACTATAGCTGACTAAAACAGGTTGACTATGCGATATCCTTTCCCCGTTGTCCCCAGCCAAAGCGGTGCACGCAGCTTCTGCGGCGTACCCCTAACACCGCGGCGTACAGCACCCGCAGGGATGTACTTTGAACACTAGATTTCGTCTTTCTTATATTTGGTTCTAAATTTGCCGTAGCTGTGGAATAGCGATGAAAACATGTAACCCTCCCCGCAGAGCATCACACTTTCTAGGCTCATTGAACACTATCCTGCTTCAGGTGTGTGCACCCAGTGTCTCGGAGACTGACATGCTGCGCTCGGCCGTTTCCTCGGGCTCCCTTTTTCAGGTGCATGACGACTCAGACCCCTCATACCAGCTGCTGGATGTCTGGTCTTCGGATTAGCATCTCCTGGAGAAGGGATCCGATAAATTTTCGATCCAGAGGATGAAATAACACGTCTGCTCATTCCACCGACCTCGCGAACCGGGAATTCCAAGAGCAGCATGGACATACGCCTTTCGTCCTGCGCGCCTGACCTGTGCGGCTCAGTCTTCGGTCTCGGTGACAAGGCTGTGTCCTCGGACTTTACTCGCCTCCGAGGCTGGTGGGGTTTGTACTGTCCCAGTGGATTCTGCATGCGTCCACGCCAACCACCGCCTCACGTTCCTCGTCGTATGGTCTGGACAATCGCTCAAGGATAGCAAAGTACGATCGTGGGCGCAGCTCTGAGTCAGAGCAAGCCAGTCTCCTGAGTGTCTGATCGGGCTTCGTGATGAACAGAACGAGGAAATTTTACGCCCAGGATTGGGTCCCGGACGAGACATAAGGCGTCCGGACGACCGGTAGTGGAAGGTACCGAGTTAAAATGAGAAACTTGCTCACTCTGTTAGACCAGACTTGGCGAGCGCATATCTCGCATCATTGGGGTGTGATGTCGAAGATGATGACGTATTGTTATGCACCGATGAGAAGAATCACCTTCAGTGAAGGTGATGCCGAAGCGCAGCCACGTAGAAGAATCCGAAATGGGTGGCTTACAATTGTACGGTATAGATAGGACCAATAGTCGCTTGAGTCGCTTATGCATGGTTATAGATAAATATTACAACCGAGGGATGCTAGAATATTGCTTTGCCAGCCGATTGCGGTTCACACATCGTTGCGGTGCCGTGGGTCAAGCGTGGAACGTGTTACTGCACAACACATGAGCTGCCCAATAAGGGCACCCGGAACGAATAGATGATGACCATACCATCGTTGACCGATTATCCTTAAGTCAGAGTAATACCAGACTGTTGGTTGTCTTGCTACCTTTTCAGGCGGAATTGTACGTCCGGTTTACCGGAAATCATTCGGTCTTGATACCCCGCGGGTATGATGCCATCCGTAGGATAACCTTGTTCGCGTTCCACGTTGCTCCGCTTTTCCGGCACAAATCAGTTGACCGGGTTATTAGGAGACATATCAGTCATCAATGAGATTTCGGTCCGTGAACGGAACGGCACCGTTGTGGGATGAAGCTGCCGCACACTTGCCATATTACCTGTAAAGGAAAATGTTGGAGGACCTTTGAGAAGGCCCCGAATACTCGGAGATTTGCGTGAGAGTTTGAGATCATTTAGGTGATTGCCGCTTGTCAACCCTGAGATCAATCAAGATGACCAACTAGATCCTTCGGCAGCGACCAATCGCATGTCCCTGCAACAATGTGATTAGCAATCCATATTTTTAGGGATTCCCCGGCACCCCGTCTTGCACAACAATTGATTGTCGTCGCCGATGAGAATGCGCAGCTTATCGGGATCGGGAGACATTCGTGCAGGTGGAGGCTATTCGAAGCGCCCGCCAATCTGTAGTACTGCACTCTTTGACAGCTACATTGAAGCAACTGAATGGGGCTGATGATCTAGGGACATTACGGGCAAAAAGAAACAGGTACCGGAGCATGATGACAAACCATCTCATCGACAATTCTATAGGGTTGTTGAGTTCTATACCTCCATTGCCAGGCTCTGTGCCTCAGCAAGGCTCAGCTCCATAACATGTCTCAACACTTCGTCCTCTTCTTCTAAATGAAGTGGGCGATCGCGTGGGGTTAACGACGCGAGCTGAGCACTCAATAGAGATGTCCGTCCAGAGTTAAGAACTTCCATCGGTTTGATCGGTGAGGGGTTAATTTGGGCGGTCGCGGCCTGGAGAACAGGGACACTCTCATTCAACGGCGGAGCAGGAGAGCGTGCGACAACGTTCCATCCTTTCGTGTGTGCTCTATCATGCCCCAAGCTACCAGTACCGCGCCACGTCATTGTCCCCTCGACAGGGCTAAGACGTGGTGACGAGTGGGCGGACGCACGGGATGAAGGCGGCAGAGATGGGAAATTGATTGGGGTTGTTGGCACGCTGTCACGACTGAAGGAATCCAGGGAGAAGCTCGGAGGACTGACGCTGAGATCAGGGTTGTATGACTTTCCAGCCTGCATGGGTTCTGGGTATAGCAAAGGGGAAACTTGGACCTTGGCGTTGGTAAGGGATGCGGCCAATCGTGGCGATGCCAGAAAAGATGAAGACGAATGAGCCGACGACGACACGTGTCGGGCAGCCGGAGACACAGACACGCCGGCTCTTCCAATGTTGAAAGCTTCCCGCGAGGACGATGAACCTCTCGAAACAGGGGGGGAGAAGTCTGGGGAATCCGCTTCATCAGCCGGGCGTCCTCGGGAAGTCGAACCTATCTCCTGCCACGCTAGGTCATCTTCACTGGAATTCAAGCCAGTCATGGTCTTCTTCTCTTCTTCATCGCGGCTAAGCATAAGAGCGTATTCCAAAGCTCCTATTTCGTCCAGTCCGAGCTCGGTCAGCTTTTGTAGCTGCTCGCGTTCCCGAACAATCTTCGAGCGGAATACGTCGTGCTCCTCTTCCAGTTCCCGACGGGAATCTCTGATGTCCCTTTCCATCTCGATTTGTTCTTCGGAATCATCAGTGACATACCCTGAATATGACAGGATTCTGCTCACGAGCGAACTTTCCGCTTACTGCTCTGCTGGAAATCCTGCCTTTTGCTTTTCCCTGTCCGGATTTGTCTCGTCCGATGTTACCTCCACGCCATGCGATGATCCGCGATCCGACACTTGCGACGATCACATCGCCTTCGAGGGAAATCTGGCTAACTCCTTCCCACGGCTGGCCATTGTGGGGCCGGGGTGAGGGAGAGGGAAGAACTCGGAGGGGAAGTGGCGAGTCGATGGGCGGCAAGGGATCCCAGACCTTGACAGAGCCTTGCGAGCTGCCCGTGATGAGGAGACCGGCATGGAGCTTCAATGCAGAAACACCGCCATCGTCATGGGCTTGCCATTTCCGCCACGTCGAAACAATGGTTACATCTAAAGGGGCCTGCTTCGGGATCGACGGGTCTTGTCGAGGTGCTGGAGTGCCGTCAGCCTCCCAATCCCAGAGACAAACTCTGCCCAAGACATCGCCGGACACTATGAAGGAGTGCTCCTTAGTAGAGCGCACGGTCGCAAACGCGTCTATATCCATCTGCAAGATTTGGGGCTGTACGCGAACAGGAATATCAGACATTTCGAACATCGTATCTGTGTCCACCGGTTCCGGTGCTGGGGAAGGGACAACTGGCGATGGGGCAGCCGGTGTTGTAGACGACGAGGCGGGCTTGAAGGACGCCGCTATTGCGGTGATGGAGCCAACTGGTCCGCCAGCAAATTGAGTGCACTCGATATTGATCTTCGCAGGAGGTTGCCCATACTCGGCAACAGGGACATTGACACGGAAGCGCCAAAAGTGATCCGCATCACCGTAATGAACCAATATGAATGCGGCTTCGGATGAGATAACGTTGAGCAGAAGCGTGGTAGTCTGTGAATCAATATGTGCCGCATCTTGTGCCGCCCCGGTCGAACTGGTGACAACTGGCGGAGGGATAATATGAGGCATGTTGCCCATAATCGTGTTCTTGGCGGTGAGTAAAGTCGGCAGGTCGATTCCGTGCCATATCAGCACTTGACCGCCGGTAGACGCAGCAATCACAAACGAGCCTTCGTACTGCACTTTGCACAGTGGTCCGATAACGTTTCCAGTAGCGGCGGGGTCGCTGGCCCAGAGGCATCGAAGAGTGTGACCACTACTCGCACCATCCCAGAGTTTTACTCTGCCATCGGCACCAGCACTGGCAACAATTCCCCTCTGACCCATTACGAGTGCTTCTACTCGTTGTCTGTGGGCATCTGCTGGTGCGGAGCGTATCAGACGAGCGGCACGGCCAACCTCGGCGGGCTTGACTCCACGGGTGATAGCTACGTCGCCGTTTCTAAACCCCCAAAGGATGCGTCCAGTCGCTCCTTCTTGCGCATCACCTTCTTTGCCGAGGCAAATGGCGGAGACTTCGATGCTGAACTCTGCATTTGGATTGCCTATGCCCAAGCCATTGAAGGTGCCATGTGAGTCAAGGTAGCCCTTCAGGACGCGACCTGTGAGGGGGAGAGATCGCGCAACGACTCCATAGGCCGAAGAAGCAGAGAGCAGAGCTTGTGTCGAAGGGAAGTAGAGATGCGATGCGATTGCCGAGTGGGTAGGAATGTGAGCCACAGTTGCGTTCCGTGAATGTTGCAAGCGCCTGACATATGGAGATAAGGACCTTTAACATGGGCAACAGAGATGTACATACCGAATAAGCATCCAGCGGGCGATATATTCCTTCTTCCAGGTATTCTCGCGCCGTCTAAGCAGCAGTTCGGCTTTGTCATGGTGCGCTTCTCTACCTTCTGGCTCTATGCTCAGATAAGTCCACAAGAAGGCTCTGTGCCAGACTGTATCTTGCTCGACATGGTCCCTCAGCCTCCGGCAAGTAAGGGAGAGTCTGTACAGGCTGAGCGGGTCGAGGTATGCAGTGACATGCGCGAAGCTCTCCTCAGGGAGGGAGAGGAGGTAGGCTGATGAGTGTTGTTTCGATCCATGTTGGGAATAGCTATGAATGCGCGGTTTCTGAGTTGATTTCTTTGGCTGATAAGTTTTCAGAAGAGCAGTTGTAGACCTAGTTTGCATATAAAAGCGGGAGTGAAGACGGCGTTTAAGTTGTCGTTGGCGCTGGATTGGACAGCGTCGAGGCGGTGGTCGGTAGTTGAGTGAGGGGCCGCCGTCGACGTCCACGACCCCTCACCATATCTCATCATTGACCTTTGCTTCCGGGGCCCCTCCGCCGTTCTCGGCGTAAACAATCGGCCGTGTCACAGTGGTATTATTTAATTAATATTTTGTTTGTTTACATCTCTAATCGCCACTGACTTGCTATCCTACCTTCATCAAGACCATGACAGCACTTATAGTACTGATGGGAGAGCTTCGTGCGGACTTTCGTTTTGCTGCGATACCTTCCATTGTTCATTCAACAACATTTAACAACCAAAGACTATCCAGAGGTGGCACCGACCATGCTCGAAACCATGCAAAGACACCTGGAAGACGGCCAATGAATGAGCTATCGATATATGGAGCCCTGTATGCTTTGTGGTCAGTTCGTTTGGCATTCTAAGCGACTCCAAGAAAGCATTCACATCACAACCTAGGCCTCGGCATGGGCGCTCCCCTAATATGTATCATCGACTGTGTGAAGCATGGATTCAGCGCACTAATGAATACACTGGTGGCCACATTTCTCACAACCTTAACTTATGGAAACGACCGTGTTCTTTGTCCTCGTCGAAAGACAAGAGAAAACGCGTGGCCCCGAATCCGCCGTCGAGACATCTGTTCTTGCTGTCGTGGCGACTGCTGCTTCAATCTTGGTTCGCCGGCTGCACAGAAGGGATCAAATTCAACCGTTATTCCCATTACCAACGTCTGGCGCGGCAAGAATGGCAAACTGGACACACTGCCTCATATCAGGCTCTCAAAATGCCGGTTTGAGCCGGACATACCACTAACAAGGGGACACGTACGAACAAAGGTCAAGGTGCATATTGCCTCGGGTTGCCCTCTCCAATGCCCTCGGAAACGCAGCAAAAGTCTCGAGCCCTGGAATGCAAGACTGACCTCGGGCCCTGATTGGGACCTGCATATCCGCTCGTCGTTACAGCGGATCCTATGTGGTTCTGTTGATGGTATTTGGGCGTTGTAACATCCTCTAGGAAGGAGCTATCAAGAGCCGTGGGGGACAGGGTGGTGTGTGGGGAAGGGTAGGCCTACCCTTCCCGGCGCACCAAATGAGGCCACGCTTCGGACTTCTCGTCGCTGCCACATCGGATATCCGTCGCGTCGCAACAATTTTGGGTTGGCACACGGTGTCTGAGCTCATGGGTGCTGTGAGTTGTCTGCTTCTCTGATAAGGAGACGCAGGTCCCGACCTTCTCGAACCTCTTCATCAAGTCAGCGACGTAAGACCGAGCACGGACGACCAGCTCGGTCGTCCGTCTTCAACATCCATGAACAACTGAATTCTAAACATTCTATCTGTCATGCTCAGCCGGGATAATGGGTTCTTGACCTGCGCAACAATGCTGTTCGTTATCCGAAGGCCACAGGTTCTGCTCATCCGCATCCTCATGTACCATCCTTATCTGAATTTGGTGAAGACCGCGGCGCAGATCAGGGCGTCGATCACACGGAGTTTCTCCGATGATCCACTCCGTCACACAACGGTACTGGTTGTCACCTTGCCGGAGCTAGTTGGAGCATTCTATTTTTCTCCATTTCCTTGCCATACTGCGAGCTAGGGTTGAATTGTGAGTGAGTGATCTGATTGCGGACTCGGACCCTTTGGGTTGCTACCTGTGTTTCCCAACAGTAGCACAGGGGACGCGGCCGGATTCCCAGCTGTTGTTTTGCCCTATCGGGTTGGACATTTCCGGGCCTCAGATTTGTAGTGCGTCATAGAGATCCCATCGAGCTTTCCGTGAATGGTTATGATCCAAAGCAGTCTTAGACGAGGGTTTGAAGGTCCAGTTCCGAATTGTGAGGTACGAGAGCTTTGAATGTGTCGATATGAACTGGGTTTAATACAGTAGTCACATGGATGAATACGTGTGCTGACACAGAGTGGATACAAGTTGCGGGTTGCTAGAGAAGCTCTGGCACTTAAGATGCATGCACCTCGCCGCCTCAAAATGAACCGGCCAGCGGTACAGGCGCACCTGGCTGCTGCAAAGGATTCTGAGCTGAGGGTGGGGAGAAAGTTGATGAGTGATCCGCAGATTGGCTGCTACAAACAATGTCAGCACATGGTGTGACGTGGTGAGGACGACGTGCCTGTACAAAGTCCCGAAAGATGGCGGTGCGGCAAACCCGTTCGTTGGTTGGGTCAGCACAACAGCAGCTTCAGTATCCCTAAATATGTGTCAATTAACTTGTGGGTACATGCGAGAGATCGCGCGCACCACTTGATGCTAAATCTCGTCACCCTTGGCTTCTCTGCCAGACTCCGAGCCAGCCTTTCGACCTGAATCGGACCTTCCGGTGGCTTCTCGTTCCACTCAGGGTTATCATACTCCGTATTCTGATAATATCCGACTCGTACAAACTCTTGGTCGCGATATGAGGCAGTAAGGATGATCGCAGCAACACCAAGGACGTCTTGTGGCGGGATGAGTTTGGGATCCGGAGGGGATCCTTCGAATTCGAATGAGTTGACCCCAACTGGGACAGGTCCAACCATGCAGTCGTCTAGTTCTTGGTCTAGCTCTTGATGATCAGGTGAAGACACGTAAATGAGCTTCCACTCGAGATCTGCATGTTGCACATATACGCGTGTCGTGAGACGCGCCATCAAACTATCGGTCGCAAGACTCACCATGCTTCAGCGGCGCTATGCACTCAAACGTGACACGAAAAATATACGGATCTGTGAATCTTGCTGGGTTATTGACGAACTCGACGTTACGTATGTTGACCAAAGACATATTGTATGCCAGGAGAATCGCAGTTGAGTGCCGTCAGTCGATGTCCGGCAAGAACTTGCGGTGTTGCCGGTACTTCTCCGCGTGTCAGGACCTCGGGGAATCGCTATCCGGGGTCCCTAGTGGCTGTTCTCTCCTGGACTGTTTATGGAAACCTGGAGGTATTTCCTCCGATGCCCCGTTTTCGGAAGCGAAATACCCTGAATGCCCCTCCGGGCGCAATTTCTCCAAGTGCCCCCCTTCCTAAAAAGGGCCTGCCCTAAGCAACCCTTTTAGGAAGATAAAAGTAGGGGAAAGAAATGCATACAAGGGTCCGGACGTCTCGTTTCTGTTTTTAACACGTCTCAAAGCATCTTCTGCATTCTTCTGGGTGGCAATGTCTTTTCTTGAACACGGACAGCACTTCAACACTCTCGATGAAGCTTCCTTTACCCTGATTGAGTATTGTAATGCTCAAAATGCGTCTTGTCGTGTCGAAAAGCGTGATTCGAAGCGTCTTATGATGATTTGCGATACTGTCAACTGCCCATTCATGGTATCGGGCCGTGCAAAGGGTGCCTCCTTTATGATTGTGGCCCTTGTGCCTGATCATACATGTCAAGCAGAGGTGAAGAAACCACATGCTGCTTCGAGTCGAGCCAAATATGTTAATCACAAAATTCAAAATTCGCTTCCACCGACGCAAAATGTGGCACCTCGAGTCCTTCAAGATATTCTCAGAAAATAGCGCATCGATATCAACTATAAGTCAGCATGGCGTGCTCAACAACGTCTTCTCCGCAATGAAATTTCGCAGCAGCGCACTCAATTTCAGAAGCTCCCGGCATATGTGACACTCCTCCGATCACGTGATTCAGAGTACCGTCCAGATCACGTGGTGTACTTCTGCACAGCTTGATGGAACCTACACGATTGAATTTCGGCCTCACAATAGACCTGGTCCCAGAGATCCCAGAAATTAGATGACTCAAAATTCACTCATATTGGATATTATGACTGCTGACATATGTTTATCATAAAGGCATATTTATAGGTGAATTTATAAATTATAGTCAAGCTAAAAAAGCTCGAACGAACATATATCCTAGTCCCAAACTAGGCGACTGACCATTTTGTGTTGGAGTTTGTGGCTTTCTCAATATTGGTTCGTGCGATGGTACCAAATGTCTCCATGTTCACATGATTTCTGCGGGGTACTGTATATAGGGATGCGAATATGTTTTGGAAAGCACCGCAATGACAACAAACGCTAGCTCTGGCTTTAAAGCTCCAACCAGAACCCTGACCATTCCCACAGTTTTTCAAGGTGTCGAGGAGCGGGGTTAGTTAGGGTTCACTGCCCGGAGGTCGAAGATTTCGGCGAGTGAACTTCTTCATTAGCGACATACACGGCCTTGCGATGGCCTGGGTTGCGAGGTGGATGCACTTTGGGACGTGGCTGTCGGTCTCCCTCATGGTCAGGAGGTATAACTATCGCCACAGGTCTCGGGAACAGAGAGGTGGATGCTGGAAGTCGGGGACGAGGTCCGGGAACCAGTCGCGGAGGATCACCGGGTGTATCCCTCCTGTCGGGGCGGGGCGGACGTGAGGGCCGGTCGCGTTGCTCGGGAACGGGATACATGTGTACACGATTAGGCTGGGGAACCAGCTTGTCCTCGGTATGTGCAAACCCTTGAACTACCCTGCTGGCTACCGCATGTACAGGACGGTGGTCCACTCTAGTATTCTCAGGGACAATTCGCGCATCGTATGGTTCCGTGATCCTAGCCTGTTGTTGTGTGGATGAGAGTGCCCTTGCACCTCCCTGTACAGGTCCCACCGGCCAGAGATCTGCCACCGACAAGACCGCAGATGGGGAGACATGACTCCTTGCATCGTTCCTTGCCGTGGGTGGCATGCCTGACGGTAGGACGGCTGGTTTATACGGGTTCGACGTGGAAGCGCTTGGTGCAATAGTCGGTTCATGATTATCCGACGTGAAGTGCGGCGGGCTTGTAAACACCCGCCCTTGGCGTTTTTGCTGTGTCTTGGTATGTGAAGGGTCGGGCTTGTTCGATTCGGATCCGGATGTATGAACAAGTGTATCGGTCGTATACTGCTGGTCTGAAGTAGCACGGGAGAAAAGTCCATTCTCCGAAAACTGGGTGTTTGGCACCGGTTCTGCCCCCTTTCCCAGTGGGTTGTACGATGTTGGCCGGGCAGGCACAGGAAAGGCGCTGTTGGTGGAAGCACTTGCCAGAAGATAGATAGCAGCATAGATAGTCTTGAATCGCATGGTGATATGTTGAAAGTAGAACCGGGGAGTGAGCGAGTTATGGTAAAATGAAGATATGGTGGACCTGACCGGCAGGCAAGCAAGTGAGGGAAGTGGAAAGAGAGGTTGGGAGGTTTAGCAAGTGTCCAGCACTAGTGTGTCGCAAGCCACAGTAGTCAAGAGTCTCTTTATATAGCTCTACGGTTGACTTCGAGGGCATAGAGTGAGACGAGGACGACCCGTTGCCTACCTTGTCCGCGGCGATGACCGGCGAAATTGTATCTCCTGGGTGAGTGTGACAGAACTAGAATTCACCATGGATGCAGAACCACGGCTCGAATAGCCAAAGAATGGGAGAGACAGACACGACCGTGTAAATTAGTTTCCCATGTCGGAGGAAAATTGTTGAGACGCTGATGAACAATGAATATTGTGCGCAGGAGCACCACAAGGAACAGGTTTGCCGATGGGAAAGGGGCCGTGCTGAGCACCGGCAAGACCCTAGCTCTTATGCTTTGGATGACACGGAATTTAAATACAAATGAGGAAGCGAACAAGTTTCCATGGAGTTACCATATCCTTTCTACTGTCTGTGTTTTGATTGACCCGGGGAAACCCCTACTCTCACGATTGCCACCTCACCGCGTGTCAGGGTCGGCTTCGTTGCCGCAGGATTACCCGGTGGGAGCCTCAGTACATCCTGCGAAAACATCCTCACATCCACTCACGGAGACGAGGTTCTTGCTTAGAACACTGCAGTGCAACTTCTATCACGCCTCCAGGTCTCACAATGCGTATACATGCCTGCAGGTCGCTTTCGCAAGATTCAAGTCCCCGGCGCTCGCCACCAGAAGCGAATCACGTTGGTGGAGGATATATCAAGGGGTTGGAACGGCTCGTCACCGCTCGTCATCAGCTGCTGGGTGCCCGCATTGGCCTTGGCACAAGACACCTTCAGGACCAGGGTGGGCCTGGGCCTGGGCCTGGTGTCCACGCCTTTTCGCCCCAGAGTTAGGCCGCAACCTGGACATATTCACTGCGGATCTGCTGGACGAGGCCTTGGTGCACGTGGTTTGCGGCGGCCAAACCGGCCAAACAAACTGGAACAACTCCGAAGGCGACCTCCCCAGGCGCTTGGTTCGCCATCAATAGTGCCATTCTCTGTCACCATCGATGAAGGGCAATGCAATGTCACCAGTCTTACTGTACGCTACAAAATGGATGATGGACCAGAACAGCAAGCGATCGCAAGCGGAGCGAAAGTGCAAGTGACTCAACTATCGCCCTGCACAATGGAGGTCACTTTTGCCGAGTGGCACAAGCCGTTTGTGTATCCGTTTCCAGTCGACGGTCGCAAGGCTAAGACACGGATTGCTCGCAAATCCGGCTATATTGAGGTATGCGTGCACAGCTATTGAGAGTTGTCACTGATCGACCCCCTCAGGTCGAAGTCCCTGTGTCTGACTCTCTCCAGGAACCCCGTAGTGTGCCGCCTGGTAGCTACGCGATGAACAGCTTCCCATTGCTGTTGTGTCTACCCCTGAAGGTTCCCATACCTTGCAATATTCATCGACTCACCCTGGAACGGCTTCCCGTTTTAGGCTTTCTACGACAAACGACATTAATTGGATGCAAACTTATCTCTCTCTCGCCTTTTCCGATCGCGAACGTGCCATTTTAAAGCAAATAGCCTGCCCCCGTGATCGCATGGAGACAACCTTCGTTCAGGTGAACAAAACCTTGCACGCTCTGTTCGAAACAATCTTGAAGTCAAGTTCTTCACGAGTACTCACGCTGACAGATCCTGCACGAGGCGGCAGCTACGTGCTTATCTTCCTCAACCATGTACGCCTCGATCTAGCTGCCCATACGCTTGTGGCCGACACTTGCATTCTGCCACTCTCTCCGTCCTTGGTGGACAGATTGAAACCCCACTTACAGAATGTAGAGCCTATCGCAAACATCATAACGGAAGGAGATGAGCTCGCGGCATGGAAGTCTCTTCTTGTGATCTTCGTCGAGCGCGGCCGTGCCTGGAAACACCAAGCCTCTTGTGAGTACGTCCGCGATAGTAAGGTACCGCTGTCAACCGAGTGGGATGCGAGTCCCATCTGCACGTGTGGAAACGGCCTCGCTTTGGGATCATTTAGCAAGTCTCTTTGGAAGGATTTGGCTCCTCATGTGACGCGGGCTGCCATCTCCCCTCTATTTGCGGTTTCGTGGCGCGAACCTGTGCCCGCCGCAATGGAGGGATTAGAATAATTCCACGAGTTTGATCAACAAATCCCAGCCAAACGCACCAATATTCCTGGAGGACAAGTGTGCAGATACTGCCATGGTTCAGGTAAGCCAACCTTGCTTAGATGCAGCCAGTGCAAGGTGGTCAGCTACTGTGACGCCAACTGCCAGAAGGCAGCTTGGAAGACCCACCAGCGAGAGTACCGCCCTCTTTGGTAGTCCTAATCTTCAACATTCTGTTGCGATGGTGTTGTGTAGGACACATTGTCCCATTTTAGAAGGTACTAGTATTCCGCAAGGGGAACGAAGACTTGTGTATTGTGGCTAGTACTCAGATCACCAGTAAGCAGACATCAATTGTATGGTTTTTTTATGTCTGACATGTTCTCTCTTCGAGACGAGAAGGATTATAGACAACAAACGAGCACATCAACGGATTGTCGTTTACCCACGACGGAGGTGATGTAGAGGGAGGTTGTAGTGGAAGGTAACCAATCCTTGTCATCCTCAGCAGTTGACCGCGGAGCTATGGTCTGTCCAACCTGACACGAGACAGGTGCATCACCCCTTCCATGATCGCGCTTCTATATATCTTCGTCTCACGAAGAGCGTGGTCACATTGTAATGGTCAGCATATCACAAGACCGGTAATATTATTACATTTACAATTGGGGTTTCGTGCTTTAGAGTTGGATAGTGAGGGAGGCATGTGTTGTGTTTCGACGCTGATGATTTCCTCCTTCAAGTCCATCTGAGAGACATCGTATCCATGGACAATGAGGTATTCGCGGAAAGCGTGATCCTCCGCCTCCATGCCGTCATGCGAGATGGGACGGAGGAGGAAGAAACTGATGAGAGCGGAGAGGATAGCAAGCCCGGATCCGACCCAGAAGGGACCAGTGGTACCACGGTCTGGGTTCGTGCCGCCCTCGTTGAAAGCAGCGATCATGGGCGGGAATACCCAGGTACCAACGAAAGCCCCAATCTTGCCGACAGCAGCCGCAATGCCGTAAAACTGTCGGCGGAAAGCAGCCGGGCCGGATTTGGCAGCGAGGAGACCAAGGTTGTTGCCCGGTCCGAGCTCGCCGAAGGTCAGGATTCAGGAATAAGTCGTACAGAACTGCAAAGCCGGCGATTTCACCAGGCTGGATGAGATTTGTTTAGAATCCAGACATGAAGAAGCCAAAGATGGCCTGGAGGATAAGACCTAAGATGATGCAGTTCTTCGGTCCAAGGTAGTCAATGAGAAACGCTGCAACGACTGTGTCGGGAATGTAGCTGAAAGGAAGAGATGAGCAGAGAGAAACGGTACAGCGAACTCTACTCACAAGAGGTTAATAACGACGGGCCACCCGAAGGACTGGTACAAATCCTGGTTTGCCGGGATGGTATTGACCACGGAGGAAGAGTAGATACCGAAAGGATAGGTGATGCAGTCGTAGATGAACCCGGTCAAGCAGATAGCGAGCAAGTTGCGCCAGCAGCGGCGAATGGCGAGGCCTTAAGGCATCCGTGCGCGCTTCATGCTATCACGGGCATACGGGGCGGACCATCCGAAGACGCCAGAAGAAAACAGCGACGGCGGGGATCACACCGAGGCCGAGGGTGATGCGCCAGACGGTGTTGAGGTGATTCATTCCACAGTTGATGGAATGGTCAGTCGCGCATTAATGAGGAATGAAATAACCGTACATCCGGAGCAGGACGAGGGGGACAAAGGCGGCAACGACAAAGCCCCAGTCCATCAATCGTCGCGAGGGCGAACCAGCGGTGCTGTGCGTTCTTGTTCACGCCGGAGCCTTCAGTTTGCTCAGAAGCAGCGACGGAACCACACGGGTACTCAGCGCCAATACCGATACCGAGAAAGAAGCCGCGCGTGACTGTCAGATGGGATTCCAGGTGGGTTTGGAGGGGGGATGTACCGGTATGCGGACAGGACTGCAGCCATTCCACCGGCAGTCCCACCGCCGTACGCGCCGGCAGAGGGGGCCGAGAAGACAGCAACGATAGCGGTCGCGCTCATCATGCCTGCTTTGCGTCCGATCTACGAGAGAACGCTTAGTTTCGGTCGTCTGACATCCTGCAGGGCTGGAGTGGCGAACCTTGTCACTGATCATACCAAAGGTAAGCATGCCAAAGACGGTGCCAGCAAAGATAAGCGAGTTGAGGACCTTGGTGAAGTTGGAGTTAGTGAGGTTGAATTAGTCGGGGTAGACGGTCATGAGGACTAGGAAATCGTCAGTGCGATGATAGGATGAGGCGAAGGATAGACGCACGCAAGTTCAAGGCACCGACGAGACCGTTGGCATAGCCGTCTGAGAAGAGAGCCGTACCGCAGGCGAAGATGAGGGATACCTGGCACATGCCCTTGACCACTTCGGCCTTGACAGCCCATGTCTTTGACGTAGCGAGGTTGATGTCGTGCTAGAAAGTGACAAGGGTCGTTAAAGTGCCAGAGGAGAGACCAAATAAGGACGTGACTGGACGCTGCTGGCAATCGCAAAGCGTCTCGGTGAAGGCGCGAGCAAGAGCGATGGAGTTGCGGGTAGCGAACCACGGTGAAGTTGACCGCATGGAGCAGGTATTTAAGCACTTTTCCCCCCTCCCCTTCTGGTCTGATCAGTCCTTGTTCCCTGGAGAGCGCGTCAGGACCCTCGAGGATATC